TGATCCCCCTTTGCTCCAGGCTGAGCCCCTTTCCCAGCTCCCCCAGCCCCTCCAGCCCCTTCCCAGCTCCATTCCCTGCCCTGGACACTCTCCAGCCCCTCAATGTCCTTCATGTCTTGAGGTGCCCAGAACTGACCCAGCCCTTGAGGTGGAGCCTCCCCAGTGTCCAGCACAGGTTTAAATTCAGCTTTTCTTGTGCTGGGTTGCACGGTACCGTGAACTTCTGGAGTTTTCCTTCATGTTTGAACTTTCTGGGAGTCAGCCCCATTCTCATCCATGGATGCGCTTCYCCACAAGGGCAGAGGGCACAGAGAGGTGCGGAGTGGGCACAGAGGGGCCAGAGCAGGCTCAGGCTGGAGAGCAGGGAAAGGTTCTTCTGTCCCCAGAGGGTGCTGGCACTGCCCAGGCTCCCCAGGGAAAGGTTCTTCTGTCCCCAGAGGGTGCTGGCACTGCCCAGGCTCCCCAGGGAATGGTCCCGGCCCCGAGGCTGCCAGAGCTCCAGGAGCGTTGGGACAGCGCTGCCAGGGATGCACAGGGTGGGGTTTGGGGGGTCTGGGCAGGGCCAGGGGTTGGATCCATGATCCTTGGGGTCCCTTTCAGCTCTGGATGTTCTGTGACCCTGGGACTTTGCATTTCCATCCCTTCCTGGGGGCAGAGGGCTCTGCTGGAGGTGCCGGGTCAGGAGTTGTCCCCAGACCTTTGCAGGTCCCACAGGGACGGTGACATCTCCTCATCAAGGGCACCTCCAGTTAAAGCCCAACCCTGCCCCAGAGCCCATTTCAACCCCAGGAGTGGCTCTCAGAACCCAAACCCCTTCCCCAAATTCCCACAGAGCCTTTCCTGCTCRCTTTTCAGTGGGAAATGCGCTGAAAAATCCAAAATCTGCTCCGGATCACCCCTTCATGCTCCTCTCTTCAARCYCTGGCATTTCCCTAYGCTGGCAGGGCGGTGTTCAGACCARCMTTGGGCTTCCTCCCCTGCATTTTTKGGGTGTTTTCTCTCAGCTCGGTGCTGTGCAGGCGTCCTGGGGAGSCTGTGGAGTGTCTGTCCCTCGGGAGCGGTGACATCACCCGGGCCAGCCCACGGGGGATGTTTTGGAACAAGGTACCACACTCTAATTTTAGCAGCTTCTAAAAATAAACCCTGCCCGGGCTGCCGTGGTGGCAGCAATGTTTTATCTCTCCACTGGGGCTATTTTCCGAGGGTGATTCAGAGAAAGGAGCTGAGCTTTCCAAACTTCACCCCGAGGTGGAACAGCAGAGGTGATTCGCTGATTGTGCACTGAAGTCTGTGCAGCCAGGAGGAATTTTTGGGTTTTCTCCTGGCTTTTTTTTTGGCTTTTCCCCCAAGGTGAAAAAGTGGAGGTGATTCACTGATTGTGC